TGGTTTTCATTTACTAAAGAGTATTTCTGGTACTCTAAGTACTGGGAATCGTGGTGGCCCCATTGGATACGTACTGGGCTGTGAACCACAACATCAGGGGTTCATTCCCACCTGCTGCTCCGTAAGAGAAAGATGAGGTTTTCTGCTCCCACAAAGATTTATAGGCTCAGGAACCCTATACAGGATAGCTATGAGTCAGAACCAACTCAACAACACTTGACATTTTGGGTCTAGGCCCCTGGGTAGTACACATGGTTTACACTAGACTGGACTATTACGTAAAGGTGGTGGTTCAAAGCCCCTGAGTAGTAATGCTGCAGAAGGCCTAACAGTTCACTCCATAAAGCTTACAGCCAAGAAAACCCTGTGGAAGTGTTATTGTCTGTAACACAGGGATTGCCACATATTACTCAAGGGCATTGGGTTGTGGGGGTGGGGGAAGGGTTTAATAGGTATAAAGCCTGTTCTAAAACCCACTGCCATAACGTTGATTCGGACGCCTAACAGCCCTATAGAACAGAGGAGAACTGCCCCATAGGGTTTTCTAGGCTGTCAGTTTTTATGGAAGTAGACTGCCACGTTTTTCCCATGAAGCGGCTGGTGGGTTCGAACTGCTGACCTTTTGGTTAACAGCCAAGTGTTTTAACCGCTGTACCACCAGAGCTAAACGAGCAGCCCAGTGCTTATTCTACAGTAGAATGTACTAATCACTGGACCACCAGGACTGAACAAGTAGGCCAGTTCTTATCCTACAGCTACATACTTGTACAGGTCAAATTGGCCAGGAGCCTAGCATCCGTCTTATGGGGAAAATGCATCTCAACTGACTATGAAATGAATTTTTTGAAATACAATCAATTAGTAAGTGGAAGGCTACCTTTATTTTTAAAGATAAACAGGGTCCCTGGGAAAAGCTCAAATTTGACTCCACCCACATTCCATAACAGTAAAAAACACCCAAAAAAAGTGCTTTTCAAATTTGTTACTCAGCATTAAGCTCTCAAAATGACATAAATCTTACTTAGTTGAACTGATAAAAATGGAAACTTGAGACTAGCCTTCAGCTTTTTTTTTTTTTTTAATCAATGATATGACTTTTACTTCACTGTATGAAACTCAAGGAGGCCTGGCAGCACAGTGGGTTAAGTACTGAACTGCTTACTACAAAGTTAAGTTTATTAAACCCACCAGCTGCTCCAAGGGAGAAAAGTGCAGCAGTCTGCTCTTGGAAAGATTTACACCCTTGGAAACCCTTGAGAGCAGTTCTACTTAATTTTATGAGGTCACTAGGAGTTGGAAGTGGGTTTTTATTGTTATTTTAATGAAAATTGTAAACATTAACTTATAAGGGAATTTTTTTTTTTCTTAAGTCCTCATGAAACCATCATGCACATTTCTTATCATTACATTGGAGTTAGAGCCCCGTGGTGGCGCTGTAGGATAAGGCCAGGTCTAGTAACTGCAAGGCCAGCAGGCAGTTCAAACCCACCAGCAGCTCTCAGAAACCCTACACAGCGTTGCTATGAGTTGGAACCAACTCAACAGCACACAATAACATGTGTTCCTAGGACTTATTTCTCTTGAGTCAGGTAAAACTACCAAAGTTCTGTTCTGTGCTCTTCTGTGGCACGGAGAGTGGGGACTTGGTAGGGGGCAGGAGAACCCTGATGACAGCTCCTATGTGAGGGCTAATGAAGCAAGAGGGCCCACAGCCCAGCCCCTAGAAGTAGGCTAAAGTTCTGAGTGGGGAGAGAAGAAGAACCAGCCATTCTGTGCTCTAGCAGTCACAGATTCCACGCCACCGAACACCCCAACTCCTTCCTCCCTAACTTGAAACCTCCAGTGTGAGAGATGAAACCTTCGGAGACACACATTTCCCCTGACCCAGCCGGAGACTTTCAGAAAAATTTCTCTCTAGGTCTCCATGACCTCCAGAAGAGCAGTTCCAGGATCACTGTTTAGCCTGAACTTCCTCCCACTGGCGGACTCCTCTTTCCTGACTGAACTTCTTCATCGGTCATAGAAGCTAACATTTGCTTACTAAGTGGCTCGTGTTCTAAGCAATGTCCTGCCCCATTCAATCATCTCAACCAAACAAGGAGTTATTACTAATCTCCCCAGATTACAGGTAAGGAAACCTAAGTACACAGTGGCATGTGTGGGCCATGAATGCCCATTTTCTGTTTCCAAAGTCCAGGCTCTTAACTGTGAAGCTATAATGGTCCCTCCTGCTGCTCACTGTGGTTGCCAGGTCTCTTCTTCCTCCTCTTATCCTGGATTCTATAATGGTACTGCCACGCACTCATTATCTCGGCTCACTGTGTTCTGCCTCTTCCCTCTCTCTTGGCCCCCAATCGTGTGTTCAGTCAATTCCACGGCACAGCTACTGTATTCACCGCCTCTTCTCCAGCTTCATTACCACAATCCTGTGTGATAATGCCACATGTGCCTCACACATAACTAATACCTCCAACTCTGATCCAGCATGAAGCCTAGCCTCAGAAACATGCAGTTGCCAAACGACTGATCCCTAGCAGTCAAAACCTGGCACTCCACAGCTATGAACCCAACCAACCAACCGTAAGCCACTCAAATCTCTTCTGCGTACTCTTAATGTTGCTCAAAATGATTCATCTACACTAATTCACATCTAGCACTTTCCTGCTACTTTTTGCTTGTATGCATTGTATCACCTACAATGTCACCCCCTACATGTTCACCTCCTAGTCAACTCAAATGGCCAAATGTCAGCTACTCCATGAAATCTTCCAAATTTTCCCCAACTGGAGATAATCCCTTCTTTGTCATCAAGGCTGTGCAGTCTGTCAACGGTTCCTAACTTGTGTCACAATTATTATGAGTGTTTGGTATCCCTTACAGATTGTTAGTGGCTTGTGGGCAGGCTTTGTTTCTATGTATTTTCCTATCTCCATTGTGCCAATCTGGAGACAGAGAAGCATCCAATAACTAACTATCTACTTGTAGGAAGAAGACGGCAGGGCTGACACAGAACACAAGCCATGAACATAGGTGGCCATTTTAATTCTTCTCTAAGGGCAAAGGACTCCTGGTGTGGCACTGTAGGATCGGCACTGGACTGCCAACAACAAGGTCGGCAGTACAAGTTCACCAGCTGCTCCTGGGAAACACTGTACAGGGTCACTATGAGTCAGAACCAACTTGACGGCATGTCGCTACACCAACAAGAACAAAGGTTTTTTCTAAAGATTTTCCTGAACTCACCCAGGATGTGAATCTTGAAAGACTGCTCTTCCTGTCTGTCAGCCACAAGCAAACATTTCTCCTTGTGATTACATGTACACACAGCCAGCCCAAAGGGATCAGACCCACCCCTGTTTAGAGAGTGTAATCTCTCCCTTCAACAGTCCTCTGTCCATTTCCACAACGCTGTTTGGTCCCATGCACTCAGATGGGAGAAGCCCTCTTTTTTTCCACTGAGACCCACAAACCACCAGAACCATAGACACTTCTCAAGTACCAGACAGCACATTGTGGTGTGAACTGAAGTGTTAGGTTTCACTCAGTATCTTGAAATGTCAAATATTTGCTTTGAGAGCAAAACATAAGAACTTCAAATGCTAGTAAAAACATTTCTGACTTAAAATAATACGATTTATGGCACGCTTAACGTCTTAGGGTAGCGTTCCATGTTTAACTTCTCATTTTTGTGGCCTTAGTTCCAGCCCTATGATGAAAGTCAGACATATGTAACTCCCTCACAACTTACAGGCCAAAATATAAAAATCTTTATTTACATTTAAGTGAAACTAGCAGATCTCCAGGGAGCCCGTTGATCCAAACAATAAGCACTAGACTACAAACCACAAAGTCCACAGCTGGAAGCCTCTAGGTGCTCCATGGAAGGAAGATACGGGTTTCTGCTTCCTCAAAGATTTGAGTCAGAACCAACTCGACGGAATCAACAGCACTTAACAACAAGCAGATCCCCTTAGACTCTGGAAAAAGTTCCTTTTTCGCATCTTCACTACCAAAAGCAGGTAACCATTTTGCCAGGTCACGCTAAAGGCAGAGGGAAGTTGTACAGTCATGTAGGATGTACAGCCTAAGCAATGGGAATGTATGGTTCAGTTTAACAACGTATGTTCCATCCTGCACTGGGCAGCGGCAAGGTTTAGTCACAAATCCACGAGCAATGTGTTCTCCAGTAGTAAAAATACAACTGATGAGATTTTTATCAGGAATGGTAATTGGGCACGATCATTTCTTTTCCCCAGAATCCACGTTTCATCCTTAGCATCAACACTTAAAATTCTACTGTTCAACTAGGGTTGTTGTTGTTGTTGTTAAGTGCCGTCGAGTCGGTTCCGACCCATAGCGATCCTGTACGGGGTTTCCAAGGGTGTAAATCTTTACGGGAGTAGAAAGCCTCATCTTTCTCCCGTGGAGCGGCTGGTAGTTTTGAACTGCTGACCTTAAGGTTCGCAGCCCGATTCGCAACCACTATGCTACCAGAGCTCCTTATAGTGACCCTGTATAGGGTTTCTGAGGAGCGGCTGGTGAGCTTGAACTGCAGCCATTGTGGTTCAAACGACTCTGTAGTCAAGCGCATTAACCTACAGTGTCACAAAGTCAAAAAGCTCTAAATAAACAGGAATATTCTAGACGACTTAGCATTTCATTCCATTCATCTTTCCTCAATAGCAGGGAGAAGTGGGAAGTGCTAAAAGGGTTTGAGGCTTTTCTTCTTGCAGAGCTATGTTGTTGTGAAGCACCGTCAACTTGGCTCTGACCCATAGAGACCCTGTATTGGGTTTCCAAGGACTGACTGGTGAGTTTCAATCGTCGACCTTACAGTCCAGAGCATTAACCCACATAGCCACTCCTGGAGAGTTATAAAGGACTAAAATCAGGAAGGGTACCGTACCACCCTCTAAAATTCATTATATGCTTTTATTCTGGTTCCACTTTTAAAAATAAATAGCAACTTGACACAATTAGGGTGTCAACAAATCCCAAAGAGGTTTATAAAAATCTATACTGCAAGGGAAATGTGGATTCCTTGGTGTCTGCTTTGTTATTCCTTAGGAAGACTGCACTGAGTAAGTATATAAAACCTCATTACTGCATTACAATGGATATTTGTCCTTCATAACGTCCTCTACTTTAAAAGGGTTTATATGTTTAAAAACTGCTGTGGCCCTATATGATCTGTATATAATATAGAATAATTAAATACTTGGATTAAAAAAAAAAAAAAAAAAGGAGGGGCATTATCAAAGTTGCCATTTTTTCTCCAGACCCTCTTTTTTCAGGGCAGAGGAGTGGCAAGTCGGCTCGGGCAGCTCATAGTGGCATCCCTCCGTCTCTACAACAGTCTGGGCTGAAGGAAGTGTGAATGTGTCTGACCAATTGATGGATACAGGAGTGCTATGTCCCTGCCACTGCCTCAATTGAGGACCATTCCAAAATGCCCATCTCAGCTCATCTAGATTCATTGCTCTTTCCATCCAAGTTGTCCAAGACACTTCCCAATAGGCCTCCCACCTGTCAATTTTTGCCTCGGCACCTGTTTCTCAGGGAACCCAGAGCTAAGACAGTGAGTAATCATGACATTTTTCATGGCAAAGAACCTCAGCAAGCTCTGTCATGGAATAAAAGGATCTTTTTGCCCTTAGAGTGGTACACAGGAAAATTTATATTATGGAATACATATTTTGGAATGTATTATGACACACACACACAGGTGAGGAAGGTACTGTGATTGGGGAGCAGGTCAGTGGGTTCCAACCAAGCCTCCTCTTAGCGCCTGGGCCAGTGAGATACTCACAAATCAGCTTTGATCCCAATCCAAGGGTTGTGGGCTCCTTGCCAGGTCTAGCTGGCACTTCAAACTAGCATTTCAATTCCCGTATATTCCAGGAAGGGGTATATTTGATTCGTGCAGCCCTGATTTAATCAGGGCAGAGACCACAGTCAAACACAGTGGTTTTAGAACTGAGAGATTTATGAGAACCCAGAAATAACCCCCGTCATTCTAGGTGACCTTTACTGGGCACACAAATGCAGAATAAAGGACCTGGGAACCATGTATAATGGCATATAAAGGTTAACAATAACCAAGTAGGAAAAAAAAGAGAAATCAATACCACCAATAAAATAAAAAAATTTTAAAACCATGGTTAAATTACAAAAGAGAAGTGACCAGCAACGTATTATAAAATAAACCCCGAAAAAAACAGGGAGGTAACAGAGACAGATTTTAGACCTGGCAAAATAATATGAACAACAAATGATTGCCATAGATTATTTTCTTGTGTATTCAATATTAAAGCAAAACTTATATATGCTCAACATACATTTGATCTGTTATTGGTCCAAAGGAAGATTTAAAAAAAAAAAACTTACACTATATACTTGCCAATATTAAGACCCAGTACATGGAGAACATATACATTACATATTATGATCATGTGCTCCAGGAAACTGGTACATCTAAAGTAATCTTAGAAAACAACGAAAACATGTTTATAACATGAAGGTGTTATAAACAACCTCCTGAGTCAGCAAGTGAGCAAGCAAGAATAATTACTGAAGAGCCTTTCACTGCTTACAAAGTCAATTAAGCAGCTAGACCATGGATTGAGTCTAACTATAAGGCTAAAAACAAAGTGGAATGAAGTAGTCATTAGATTCCCAAAGCATCTGTAGGTAAGATAGGGGAAAGATGGTCCCTCTCCTATAGTCATTCATTTGTAACATACAGTAAACCCATAAGAAAACAAGGTCTTTAAAAAACACACTATGAAAAACTGTAAGCAGTTTAATGAATATTTTATGCCTAAAATATTCACCACCACCACCACCAGTCTCTATCTACTGGGTCATGTTAATAACAATTCTCATCCTGCGGTCTGGTCCAAGAGCAGAATTCTGGCAGTTGTTTCTCCTAGTGGAGCCTACTTACCCCTTGGTTTCCATCACGAGTCTTTTCAGATTTTCCCAACCAATCGTTAAAACTGTTTGTTTAAAAAAGGTGACCCAGTGCCTCACTGAAAGTTACGATAACAATCACATATGCCCTGCGGCATGTGCTGCTCGACTGGCCCCAGATCTGCTACTTTTACCCAAAATCATAAACAATCAAAGTCCAAATTAAAAATCTCTCCTTGTGTGCCTACCAATGTATACAGTTTATACTTTACGACCTCAGTATCTAAGCTCAGTTTAAAGTAATGTCACATATAAAGACTGTAGTTTTACTGACTTTTAAAATCACTAGGATGTTTACTGTTTTACATAATTACCCTCACAGAAGCACTTTCGGTTAAATTCTCCAACTCAGGGCAGAAAGTGGATATAAAACATTTGAGAGGATTGCTGAAACTTACCATGTGCTACTGTTTGGCTTGATTTAGCATCCAAAGTCTGTGCTGCAGGGGCACTCACTGAAACAGCACAAAAAGGAAAAAGATCACAGGGTTCCACAAAGTAAAGGAAAAGCACCAGAACGTGATAGTAGCCTGTTGTTGTTGTTGTTATGTGCCGTGGAGTCGGTTCTGACTCATAGCAACCCTACACAGGGTTTCCAAGGCTATAAATCTTTACGGGAGCAGAAAGTCTCAACTTTCTCCCGCAGAACCGCTGTTAGTTTCGAACTGCTGACCTTGTGGCTTGCAGCCCGATTCATAACCACTACGCTACCAGAGCTCCTTAGTAGCCTATTAGTCTCCTCAAATTAGTCCAGGTGTACACTGGGGTCAAATGTTTCCAAAGACAAAGATATTATACAACTAATCTAAACCCATTTTTATAATAGCTTTGTTGAGGTATAATCCACCCTTTTAAAGTATAATGCAATTTAGTGTATTCAGAGTTCCTCGGAAACCCTGTACAGGGTTGCTATGGGTCGGAACCGACTCGACGGCAGTTAACAACAACAAGAGAGTTACTTAGTCATAATAACTATCTAATTTTAAAGCACTTGCATCACTCCCAAAAACACCTCACATCCATTAGCTGACACACTCCAAATCCCCACCCCCACCCCCAGCCTCTGACAACCACTCATCTTCTTTTTGTGTCTATTAATGGGCCTATTTTGGACATTTCATATAAATAGAATCTTACAATGTCTGTTTTTTGTATCTGGCTTCTTTAACTTGGCATGTTTCCAAGGGTCACCTTTGTGGCGGCATGTATCAGTAACACTTCATTCCTTTTTGTAACTTTATAATATATTCCATGGTGTGATGGGAAAGGATAAGCACTGAGCTGCTAATCACAAGGTTGATGGTTCAAACCCACCAGCTGCTCCTTGAAAACCCTCTACAGGGTCGCTATGACTTGGAACCAACTTGAAGGCACTTAACAACAGTGTATAATCCACGTTTTACCAAGTCATGTGTTAATGGACATTTGGGTTATTTCCACTTTTTGCCGATTATGAATGCTGCTGCTGTGAACATTCATTCACAATCAGCCAACTGTGCTGTCGTTTTCACTTGTCCTTTATTTATTTCATTTCAGCCATACAGGCTATTTCTTCTTCCTCTCTATACTGCTCTCTATACTGCTATAATATCGTGCTATAAAGTGCTACTAGACAAAAGGACCAGATGCTGGGTAATGTTTGAAAAATAGGAACAACATGGTCAGATGAAAGATACCAAAATGTCACAAGCCAATTTTTAAAAAATTACTCCAATCACTGGACTGGAAGGCATTCATGCAGCTGTAGCCTTTAGGGGAGAATGTATCTGATTAAAGTGAAACGAGAAGTTATTTTTCAATGTCTCCATAGATTGAGGTTCCACAGCCTCCCTTCCAATAATTAACGTTTGCCCAGGGTTCTTCTCTAGACTATTTACTTGTATAGTTTGTTTTCACTAAACAACACTTGGCTATTAGCTTACCGACTCTCAAACTCTTTAATTTGAATCCTACTCTAATAAAATATTGTCCAAAAGCCTCTCCTGCCTCCATAGGCACATCTTTTTAGTTTAGGCAAAGGCTACAAATGAGTTCTGGTGTGGCGCTGTAGGATAAGCACTGGACTGCGAACCAAAAGGCCAGTAGTTCAAATCCACCAGTCACTCTTCAGAAACCCTATACAGGGTCACTATGAGGCGGAACTGACTGGACAGCACTTCACAACAACAATAGTTTACATTAAAAATCCTTTAGTTTTCTGGATATGGTTCTAATGTATTCATTTTATATCTCCTAAGTTGTCTTTCTCTTTGTGATCTGACTCACAGGAATCTTATCTAGGGTTTCTGAGGAGTGGCTGATGGGTTTGAACCATTGATCTTTTGGTTCAAACCCACCTTGTGGTCCAATACATTATCCTGCAGTGCCACACCAGGACTCCTGGTTTTTATTGTTGTTGTTGTTGTCAGGTGCCATCGAGTCGGAAGCGACTCATAGCGACCCCATGCACAGCAGAACGAAACAATGTCCAATCCTGGGTCAACCTCACTACCGCTGCCACACTTGATGCCATCAATGATGCCACCTGGCTGATCCATCTCGTTGGGGGTCTTCCTCTTTTTCTCTGATCCTCCATCTTACACAGCATGACATCCTTCTCCAGCGACTGTTCCCTCCTGACAATAATTATTAGACTAATGCAAAGTAATAAGTATGGCTGATCCAAATCACCACAAAAATCACATCAGTGTATACAATCATGGGGTTTTAGAACTCAGTCAAAACCGGGAATCAAAATTAATTATGCACTCTCCAAATGAATTGGTTTTCAAAGAAAAGTCTTTAAAAACAAATACGCAAAAGTTAATGTTTTGGCTTGGCATTTAAAAAGATTTCTTAAGTACAGTATAGAAACTTACTAGGTACAGCTGGGGTAGATGACTTAGCTTCAAAAGCTTGCCAGGCTAAAGGATTCCCTGAAATAGCAAAAAAAGTAGTTAATATCAAAAACTACAAGTTACGGACTGAATTTTGACAAATCCATTTTCCCTCAGAATACAATAAATTAAATTTATTCAAGCAACTGAGTAAAGATGGCTAACATGAATCCTTTTAAAGCTACATTTTTCATCAAATTACTTTTCATCCAAATCTTTATATTTAGACAATTATAGACATGGAGTCCCAGTATGGCACTGTGGAATAAAGCACTGGACCACAAGGTCAGTTTGAACCACAAGGTCGCCAGTTCAAACCCACCAGCCATGCTTCGAAAACCCTATACAGGGTGGCTGTGGGTCTGAACCAACTTGACGGCACTTTATTCAATAGACGTGCACTCTTGCTTAGCTGAACTTTTACTAATGAGAAGTTCAAGGGAAATTCAGCTCTTGTACAAATCTGTAGAAGTCCTGGTGTGGTGTTGTGGGTTAATGTGCTGGACTGCAAAGTCGGTTTGAAAAGCAAGGTCAGTGGGTCAGGCTCACCAGCTGCTCCTTGGAAATCCTAAACAGGGTTGCTATGGATCGGCACCAACTCTACAGCACTTAACAACAACAAACCTCTGTCTCAAAACAAAATCACCTATACCTACAGAGGCAGTAGCTCAAAAGAGGGAACAAATCTTTACAGCGAGGTTCATTCCCACCCCCTCAATACACAGAGTAGACAGGGATGGGCAACTTGGACATTGGCTACTCAAAATGGGGGGGGGGAGTGCGGCTACAAAGGCAAGAAATGACTGGCTTACAAGCTTTCAAGAAGGAACCTAGATCCAGAGGGCACAGAGGAAGATAGAATCTCCACTGAGTAGTATCCAGTCTGTCTAGGCGGGGCTGATGAAATGAAATGCAGATGGATCTCTTGTGATACAATAGTGAATAATTGTTATCAGGACTGCTTGTGAGGGTTGGAATTGTAAAGGTGGACATTTTGTGGCAAGGAGGCGAGTGACTAACTTTTCAGCCTAGGAGCAGAGGTCCCTGGGACCATCAAGGGATAAGAGTGGAGAGCGGGAGGGACCCTACCCAGAGACTCAGTGATGCCTGAGATGGAGGCAGAGACAATGATGTGTAGAGATGGAGCGGCTGGGGACTTTAGACACAGAGAGGGAGAGGGGCTGTGTGCTGACCACTGAGGGGCAGACTTGTGTGGTATACCCTTTGGTTGGTTGGTTGATAATGCATGGTGGGTATTGTAACCATGGCAATGAAACGATATATGATAGGATGAATGTAAAGCTAATGTTCGCCCATGTAAACTATCACATAATTCACAATAAAACATTTTTTTAAAAAAAGCAGGATCAGTGTGTCTCCTACGGCTCTGGAAATGGCAAGGTAACCCCGTGGTAATCCCAGGTTGGAATTCTTCAAGTGAAGGAAGATTCCTTAACACTTGAGACTTGCAGGAAGTGACGCAAAGTTAGGAGCACTTGGAAGGAGTTGGACAGAAAGCATGCTTTTAGATTGGACTGTCTCCCAGTCTCACGCCTGACTCTCTCACTTCTAGACTAGTCCTCCAGTGGGATGCGGAGGGATGAGCTGTTACTGCTTAAGTCAGGAGGTGCTATGCGCCCCACTGGGTTTAAAACACACAGCATCGCCATGAGTCGAAATCAACTCAAGAGCAGCAGTGTGGTTTCATTTTTTTTTTTTTTTTAATGTTTAAAATGAAGAAGATGTTACAATTGAGACTAACTTGGCAAGTCTTTATGGTACATTAAAATGATTACGGGTTTTCTGATCAACAATAGCTAACACTCCTAACTGGTGAGCAGGTATGTTTTACATGGGCTATCACTTTTAATCCTCATAACAGCTCTATGATGGAATTACTATTAATATTCCTACTATAGAGATGGAGTCCTGGTATGGCGCTGTGGGCTAATGCACTAGACTGCAAAGTCGAATGAACCACAAGGTTGGTGGTTCAAGCTCACCAGCTGCTCCTTGGAAACCCTATACAGGGTGGCTGTGAGTAGGACCAGAGTCGATGACACTTAACAACAGCAACACAGAGATAAGGAGTTCCAGTAGAGCGATGGGTTAGTAGCTGGACTGCTAACCTCAAGGTCAGCAATTCAAATCTACAAGCCACTCTGCAAGAGAAAGATGAGATTTTCTGCTCTCATTAAGATTTACAGTCTCGGAATCAGAGGAGGAAACTAAGCTTAGAGATTCACTAAGCTAAAGTGCTGAAAATGGAAGCAGAACACAACTGGTTTCCAAACCCTGTGCTTTTAATCTCAACTCTCGCGTACAGTTTGCAAATCAGTATAAGGTACTCAGTTACTCAGCATGGATTATATGCTTAACAGGATTAGGATGGTGGTGATGTGCTGTGGAGTTGGTTCTGACTCAGAGTGACCCTGCATAGGGTTTCTGAGGCTGTAAATCTTTACGGGAGCAGAAAGCCTCATCTTTCTCCCATGGAACGACTGCTAGTTTTCAAACTGCTGACTGTGAGATTCGCAGCCCAACTTGTAATCGTTACGCTACCAGAGTTCCTTAACAGTTTTATGATTGTTGTTGTTGTGAAGTGCCGTCGAGTCGATAGAAATACAAATATAAGAAATCATTAGATGATAGTACAGATTTTTCTACCTTCTGGATTATGGTAACAGATCTCCCAGATTCAAATAACAAGAGGAGAGCTCTCCCAATTTACACTACTAGGAGGAATGCCCTCTTGGCAGACATACACTCTGTGGCCCCACACATTCCTGTGATGCCCCCCACCTCCCAGCACTGTGCAGTCCATCGCTTACCTTTAGGTTCACTGTTTTGTGGTTTACTGGCAAAGTCTTTAATCTGCAAAGAAAAACAGTCTTCTAGCAACATACACTCATACAGACATGCTGAATAATGGATAGACACTGTACTCAGTAAATAAAGCTTCTCATTAAATCCTTCAAAGGCACAAGACACTCGGACTTTAAAGACACAGAGACATACGTCCCATGAGAGCAGTATTTGGATTCTTCTCTACCTTCAATCTTACTCTGAATTCGAAATGAATCAATCTGTTGCACAGTACTGTTTTAAACACCGTTTTTACAGTTTTTCCTACTGGATCTACTTTTACAAGCACTTACAGAGACAGTCCTCTGTCTTCTTGACCTTATGCAGGTGCTCTGAAATAAAGACACGTGTTCTAACAGTAGGAACGTTGTTTATAAAGAAAGCCCGAGCCAACAGACATCCATCCATACCTGCTGCCGCTGAGTGATTATCAGCTCATTCTGCTCCTGGAGTCTCAGCCCCAGCTCTTCTATCCTCTTCTTGTAGAAGACATTACTGGCATTGAGATCGTCGATCATTGAGGTCCGAAGTTTCTCTATATGTGACAGGAGCTGAAAAAAAATTTTTTTAAGGAACATATTTCTCTGTAAACTGCTTGTAAACTATCTTCCTTCTGCAGCTTTGGATGTTCAGACCCTGCTTCCTTTGCTGCCTTTACAGTATCCACGCACATACAATCATTCAAGACGGCTTTGATCATGGCATGTCAGGTCCCTGGCTGTACAAGGTGCTTTGTCTGTCTGTCTGGGGAGCTCCTGACCCACGACAGATGTACTAATGTGAATGGTTGAGTGAACTTGACCAAGTACATGGAACAATGAATGCATGGATACCAAACCAAAAACTAAACCCACTGCCAGCGAGTCGATTCCAACTCATAGTGACCTCATGCAGGGTTTCTGAGACGGTAAGTCTTCACAAACCACAGCCCTTGCAGCTAGCAGCCCAATGCTTGCCTCACTGCATCACCAGGGCTCCTTGGCATATGAGTACATAGTGATAAAAGATGAAGGTTTCTTGCTTATGCTCCCAGAGTCCTTTGTCCTGCTTCTGCCTTTGAACCTCCCATGCACTCTGTCCTACACCTGCCCCATGGGGTCAGGTGTGAGTTCCCAGGGACAGGCTGCACCTCCATTATTTCAATATCCCACCACAGTCCCTGGGCCATAGGAGGGTCTCACAAAATATTTACTGAGAAAAGAGAAAAGGAAGTGGGGGGCAGGAAGGAAAACAGAAAAGACAGAGGAAGGGGAAGAACAAGAAAAAAGCACAAAGATTCATCTTTGGAGACCTGATGCCAGGAAGATAATGAAAAAGATCCAAAAAGAGTTGATTTTCAATGAGTTAGGAAAGGATTCTTCAAAGTATTGCAGTAGTTGCTTAAAAGGAAGGGAGCAGATGGACTGTTACTACAAGAACAAACAAATTGCTTGTCCAGGAAACATCAAGGCAAGTGGTCAGGTCCCCTTAATGCAAACCCCCTTCCAAGACTAAGACTCAACGGAAATACGCGCCCTGATTGGTGACCACACGCATCGCCTATAGGGGAAGTGGGGTAAAAGCAGCAATGAAG